TTCTGTAGGCCTATGGATTCGGGATGCCTCAGCCCTTGACAATGTTACAGTTCTTTTGTAAGCCTAGAGAGTTGAGATTCTTTCGCCCTTAATACTAGCCAGTATCATAGCTCTGGGCTCAGGGTCTGAGACCTTTGGTCTAAAGACTTTACAGCCTCTGAAACTCATGCACCCAGGCCTGCAGTTTCTCTTCTCTGGCTCTTTGCAGTCTTTTATCCTTTTTAGTCTCCTTTCTCTGTCCTCTATTGCCATCTTTCTACCTTGGCTGCCTTCTTCTAATGCCCTGGCCAGCCTCTCAAACTGTTCAACTTTCTTCTTTAGCTGTCAAGAAGCCAGCTTCCTTGTCATTAACACTAATAGTGATCTTAACAGATGTTAGCAATGCTCTGCACTAGCCCAGTGCCCAAGGAAGAGGTAGTCCCCCTCCCTCTGTCTCCGTAAGATCCATTATTTCCTGGAGCTCATATCTTTTTCCTTCATTTGCTTCCTTACTTTGCTGAAAAGGCATCTTCAAGAAACTTCCTTGAAAGGCCTGAGTATGAGGTAAACTTCCCTGGCTCTCACACTTTCAGGCCCACTTCACTCATATGTAAAACAAAGACGCTGGACCAGATGATCTCTAACATATATTCCAAGAATATAATTTTGTCAATATGTATTCATTTATAGCATGTGATTTCAAGAAGGGAATTTAAAATAGGTGCTGCTCTCAAGGGATTTGCAGTATATTAAGATAGACAAAAGGGTAAACTCTCAAAACAATAGCAAGAAATTATCAATGCAAAAAATACTGCAAGGCAGGGTAGGAGTGGTCACCAGTCTGTGCCTTGGGCTAAAGGAAAGACCTAGAAACTGAGTCAGCCTCAGGTGCTCCTGTTGGAAGCAAGACTTCTGTAGTAGTGGAGCATGGGCAATGAGTTAGGTCAGATAGTACTCGACAATACATTAATGACAACATCAAGTCTGATGGAGGAGTTAATGGTCAACGGAGGAGACCTCCCTCTCAACTTCTCTGTGGCTTTGGGTCATCAACATTTACATCTCACCAAATCATGGTAGGTAATAATTTTTAAATATAGAAGCATGATGATACCTTTCAGTAGACAAATTCTCAGACCATTTCAGGGCAAAACAATGAACTTTCATTCCGTGTATGAATAGCAGCGTATTTATTAATAAATGTTTTTGGTCTTTTAAAAATATTTTATTTTTATTTATGTGTATGAGTAGACTGCCTACATGCATAGAAATGCACCCATGTTGTTCAATGCCCACAGAGGTCAGATTCCTCTAGAACTGGAGTTATAGATGGTTGTTAGATGCCATATGAGTGCTGGGAATCAAACCCAAGTCCTTTGCAAGAGCAGCCAGTACTCTTAACCGCTGAACCATCTCTCTCCAGCCCTTTTCTTGGTTGTTATTCTTTTTGAGACAGGATTTATCTGTAGCCTCAGCTGGCCTAGAACTCATTATGTAGACCAGGCTAGCCTTGATCTTAGAGCGATCTGCCTGCCTCTGACTCCCCAGTGCTGGGATTAAAGGTGCGTGCTACCACAGCTGGTTAGAAATGTCCTCTTTGAAACATGAAGGATCTAGCAGTGATCTTTATTAGTAGTTTCTCTGAATTGGGCTGAGGATGAGTCTTACCATCACCCATTTGGAAAAAGTATGTTTTTCAGCCTGACAGAGGGTATGTAACTCAGTGGTAGAACACTTATCTAGCATGTTCAGGGCCCTGTATTTGATCCCTAGCACCACAAAAATAAATAAATACATAATTAATAAATAAATAATAAATATTTTCACGGTGACAGTGAGAAGTGATTCTAAGCAAGTCCCCTTCCCATGCTCGAGGTGGGGGAGCATCACTCTTATGATAAGAGCCTATTATTCCAATAGCACTGTTGCTTGGATGGAGAAAAGCTGCAGGATTTCAAGGATGTGGCTTCTCCAAGGCAGGTTTCATAGACTGATGAGCCTGAGACCACGACGACACAGAAAAGAAAAAAGAAAAAAAAAAAAGCTTTCATTCAGCTCAATGGCAGCTCCCCTCCCTCTTGAAAACAAGGAGAGAATTTGTAAGAAAGGAAGTTCCCAGAAGAATAAAAGGATCTTTATGCAAGTGGTCTGAGCAGTTTCTAGAAAGTGGATGCAGTAAGGAGGGCAAGTGTGTTGGGCCACATGATGGATTTTCCTGCAGGGTCTAACCTAGTGACCTAGTGCTGCCTTTCTGGAAAGCATTCTCTAATAGCCCCCGCCCCACCCCCAGGAAGAACTAACAGTGGCTAAAACCCTCTGTTCCTGTTGCCCTCCTAACATCAAACAATCCAAAGTTTATGCCAGTTTTTCTGCACAGTCACTGGTCTTGGCTGGCTTATTCATTCTCACATCCCCAGGGTCTGGCAGGTAATGATGCCTATGTTGACCCAATGAATGGGTGAATGGATGAGAAGAAGCTGTGTTTCATCAAAGACTAGAAACAGCTTGAATATTGAGTTGTCTCTGGAGCTTTGGGCAAGCCAGAAGGACTAGCGGAAGTGGACCTGAGCCAAGGGGAAGATTTCCAAGAGCTAGGGCCATTCAAACCACTCCCTAGCCAGGGCAGGAGAGGCATCAGGAAGGTGGGAGTAGGGAAGAAATGCCTTCAAGGTTTGTGGTCTGTCCAGGACACTACTACTGTTCGTGCAGAGGGAGCCAAAAGATGAGTAGTGCTCAGACGCAGCACTGCCACTGTGCCAACTACCCACCAGGGATGAGACAAGCAGAGAGCAAAGCCAAGTGTGGTGGTGTGCATGCCTATAATCCCAACACTTGGGAGGCTGAGGCAGGAGGACTGGTTTGAGTTTGCGGCCAGCCTGGGCTACCTAGCAAGTACCAGGACAGTCAGAGTACATGGTAATTTTGTCTCAAAAAGAAAAGGAAGAGGGGGGGAGAACACAAGGACCCCATGATCTCTGAAGAGCTTTCTGTAGCAAGCTTTGGACTTTAGCCTGTCACCTTTAGCCTTCTCAGTGACCTAGAGACACAGGTATCCCTGACTTCACATGAGAAGTCCTACCTAGCAAGGACCTGAGATCTCCCATTCCCTGGGGATGGGAGCCAGGACCTGCACACCCAGCAGGCTGTACAGTAGCAACTGAAACAAATTTGAAAAAAATGCCTGGTTTAAGGTACCAAAATTTCATGTCTGTACACCCATAGCTCACCTTCTATTTCTTGTGTAGTTTGCTTGCTTCTCTTTATCCTGGTTTCTTATAAAGGTGTGTGTGTGTGTGTGTGTGTGTGTGTGTGTGTGTGTGTTTAAATAAAAATCCCACAGGATTCCAATTTTACAAAGGAAACTGAAGGAGAGAAAGCTAGATTCTCAGGGTAAGGCTTTAGAGGTGAAGCAGGGCTAAGGGTAGAAAAGACTTCGAAGAGCAGGTCACACCCAGAAGGGTGTGGGCAGCTGTTCTCTCCTGGGGCCGCTTTCCTACAAGCCTGGTTCCCTTCCCAGCCTTAACTTGGTATGGCCCTGCCCACCTGTTACCATTATATTTGTTTCCTAAAAAGCATGTAAGAGAATATTGTTCACTTCGCTACTTAAAAAAAAAAAAGTGTCGATGCTTCTTCCCTTATGATCATCACATCCTCCAGGGAGACGGACAGGTGGTCTGTCTTTACTCCAGCAGGTGGAAATTTCTGACTGCATGGAAATTAACACCAGCTTGCCTCCTAATGTGCAGTTGGCCTGATGACATCTAGGCTGCTAGAAGTGTCTCTCAAGTGGGAAGAACAATTAAATGACTCAACTTTATGCTCAGAAAGAACTGGCCACAGCATCTCTTAGGGACAGAAAGATTTAGGTGTCAAGGAGAAAGGAACAGGTTTGAGTGAGTGGGTGTGGCCTCCAGGATCACTGCAGAAGTCCCTGCTGCACCAGCAAAGAGGGAGGCCATGGGAAAGGCCAGAGTGAAACCAAAGGCCACTTCTAGCTGATCTCTGCTTTCGGGAACTTAGAGCCATGCTCGGGCAGCTAGCTGGCCGGCAGAGGCAGGCTCTCTGGAGAGTCCATAGAGGTCCCTGTCTCTCCAAGGCCCGCGTGCTGGGGAGGAGGACACCCCCTTGACTTGCAGGATCCAGGGTAGTAAGCAGTCAAATTGGAGGTTGGGGGAGGGGTGTGTAGGCAGAGAGATTTGGAGCTGGAGAGGGAAGGTCAAGAAAAGGTCTCCTTTTCTGCCCATACTCACCCTATTTGGGGACACCGATGCCACCTGAGTGCGTCCAGGCAGCCAAAGCCTGACACAGGCTTGCATGGGCGCACTCTCCTCTTTCTTAGGGGCTCACCTTTTGGCCACGTTCCATCCAACCCCACAGGCATGCAAACTAATAAAGTCACCCCCATCCCCTTGGCGTACTGCGCAGATGCTGGCTGAAGCGCCGGCACCAGGAAAAAGAGGCGGAGGACTCTGGCTAAAGAGCTGTCGCCCCCACACAGTCCACACCACACGAACCCAGGACAGGGTGCAGAGTGTCCCTGAGTCCGGTGTGTCCGCCTTGCCCCAGCTCACCTGACTTCTCAGACACCCAGGAGCTTGGGCACCTCCACCACGGCCCCTTGGAGCTCCTCTTGCTTTGGCTGCTCTCTTCCCCAGCAGCCAGAGCTCACAAGGGTGCGCCGGGTGGGGAAGGGCCAGGATTCCAGACGCCTGGACGGGAGCCTAGCCTGGAGCCCGGAACCGTCGGGTCCCCTCCCGGGGCTCCAACATTCTCTGTCAAGTTTCTAGCTCTTGTAGACCCGACCACCTCACTTGCTGTGGTAGACCCCACATCTCCCCTTCGGGGGCGCCCACTGCACACGCTTTGGCTACCTGCCAGAGGGCCATAGCTTGCAGACCCGTCGGCACACCCAAGGGTCCCAGCCAGCACCCAGCGCCTGCCCTGCCCGCTCTCTCGCGGTGGGTCCAGGTCTCAGGGTCAAAGGGTTCGATGGGGGGGGGGTCACTGCCCGCGCTTCTTACCCAATCCCGGCACAAAAGTGTTGAGGAAGAGGCAGATGACGGCCACCGGGAAGGGCATGTAGGGGATGGCGGCGCGCAGAGGACCCTTCTTCTCGCGGACCTGCACGACCACCCCACTGGACGACGCCGCCCCCCGGGGATCTGTTGCTGAGGCCGCGGCCGCCGCCGTCTCGGCGTCTTTGTGCGAAGGCTCCATGGCCCGGAGACCTCTCCAGGAGCCCAGCTGCCGCTGCCCCGGCAGGCGACGACCGGGTGCCGGCTCGGAGCTGCGCGCTCTGCGCCCTGCTCCGCGGGCTGCAGCGCTCTGGTGCTGCGCTGAGAAGCCCGCCCTCCTAGCTCCACACCCCCACCCCGGCGGAGGGCGGGAGGGGCAGCGTGACACTCGGTGACAGCGCTCCCTCGCCCCTCCCCTCCGGGCCCCTTCCCCGCCCCCTCCAAACCCCACGATTCATCAGAGAAGGAGAATCCTGGTGAAGGGAACAAAGTGGGAGCTCAGCGCGAAGGGAGCTGGCGGTCGGTGAAAAGCGCCTCGCCCTCCCAGCACAGGTGGACCGGGAACCTCATCCGAGGTCGCCGAGAGCTGGGCGTGCACTAGGCTGAGTACCTCTTCTGGAGTGTGCATTTGATGCCAGGGTGATAGGGGCAAGGGACGGGCGGCGCCTGAAATCTAAGGAAGCCTTCAGTTCACTCTGAATTAAACGGATGTGTTTCGTTCTACTCACAGAGCAAAAGCAATGTGTTTCAAGTCACGGATAATAAATGGACTAGAAGCTGGAGATGTAGCTTGGTGCTTGGCAAATCCAGGCGTCAATGCAAGAGATGGTGTCCCCACGAGCGTGTGCGCGTACGCGTGTACACACACACACACACACACACACACACACACACACACATCCTGTCTTACACACAGGTTCACGGACACGAAAAGTAGAAGGGAATGCACCTGCTTAAGGGCGAGGGTAAGGGAACCATCCCTGAATGGTGCTAGGGGCCACCTGGGCCTTCTGACACTGGACGTGATGCTTAAAAAGCTAGTGTGACCACAGCGCCGCCTGGTGTTGATAATGTGCCAGTAGGGATAAGCCAAAGGATTTGGTGGGGGGAGGGGAGAACCAGGTGAGGGACCCCACGTGGATTTCGTTTTTTCTCAATAAGGCCTTCCTCTCCTGCACCGGGAATAAGTGACCCGGTGAAAGTAACTCCAGGCATGATGCCTCAGGCCTGAAATCTCAGCACTTTAGAACAGAAAACAAATTCTGGGTATCAAGCCTAGCTTGAGCAAGACCCTGCTTTTAAATAAATAAATATTTTTAAAGTCTACTAGACAGAGGGGCTGGAGAGATGGCTCAGCGGTTACGAGCACTGGCTGCTCTTGCAGAGGACCTAGGTTCGATTCCCAGCACTCACATGGCAGCTGAAAACCGTCTGTAATTCCTGTTCCAGGAAATCTGACACCGTCTTCTGACCTCCACGACGTGGGTGCACTTATTATACACACAGGCAATATACTCATACGCATAAAATTTAAAATAAAATATTTTTTAAAATTTAGGTAAACTGCAGGATGGTAACAACTACAATGACAACACTGTAGAAACAGCGACAGCTGTGGTAGCTGGCCTGTGCTGGAGGTGCTGTGACCCAGCGGACCTTCCTCTGAAGCCAGCTCATGTAGGGGAGATATCCTGAAGGTCTCTCCAGGAAAGCGATGCATGTTAAGACTTAGACAATGGCTAAAGCAAACTACTTGCAGGTGTGTTTTATTTTAAACAAACATAACAACATTCTCTGCCAGGCACCATCCTAAACTCCATTTAATGCTTGCCTTAAACTATGAACTATCTATCACATTATCACCTGGGTTTATAGGTGAAGGAATTGAAACACAAAGAGGCTAAATAACTGCACAAAGTCATCCATGATGAATTCAAATGTAGGCTATCTGGTTCCAGAACCCATGTGCATAACTGTTATTTTATCTAAAGATTCAGAAACTGATCTACATTCTTTGAATAGTCTCTCACAGAATACCTGGACTATTTAAGGATCTTTCTATCCTCCTTGTCCTGGAGGAAAAGGAATCCAGAAGGAAAAAGATTTGCATCCCCCAATTCCAGATAATCTGCTGACGATCTTGTGTCTTCCTCACACCCACAGACAACCAGATCATCAGCAGATTATCTGGAATTGGAGGATGCATGGGACCCCAGGGAAATAAGGAGTTTCCAGACTTGTAGTATGCTAGGCCTGGGGGCTGGTGAGGTGGGCAGGAAGACGGTTAGTGATAAAGTGAGAGGAATTGAGACTATATCCTAGTGATGGGGAATTGCTGACACATTTTAAATGGGGACAGTGGACCATGAGTGCTCTATTTACTACTGCTATGCAACAAATGGCCCTCAAATGTAGCCACTTGACAGGGCCATTTCATATATGATCATACTTTGTGGTGAGCAGCCCAGACATAACACAGCAGAGGCAGTTTGTATTTGCTCAGTTGTATCCAGATCTGCAGCTGGGTCAATTCAAACAGCTGGTGACTGGAAGGGCTGGGGCCATGGGATTCACCTTTAAAAATATTCTCAGGTTGGTGGCTACCCTAGGAGAACTTGAAAGCTGGCTTCTCTGGGGTGGCCCCACAGGTCACCTCTATTCAGTATCATATGACCTAGGCATCTCACAATATGGCAGCCAGGTTCTAAAAGGGAACTTGCTGAAAGGATACCTCCAGAGAATGGGCACTGCAGAGCCAGTAGAAGTGCAATATCTGCTTCTCCAGAAGCCTTGCGGCATCCTGCAGCACTCTCTTGATTGAGGAACTCAACGGTCTGCCCAGATTCAAAACAGAAGACAGCACACCTCTCTATTTGGAGGGCCCAGGTTTTAAAACTGATATGAAGATGTCGGCTGGGAAAACCAGTCAGCCAACAGTCAGGAGGGTGGACCGGAGAGGATGAGGCTGGGTCACATACCCATGTGGACTTAGGGCAGATGAAAAAGACAGAGACTAGGAGAGAGGTAGTTCCCAAATTATAACTAGGTATGATTAGCACACAAAAAGGAAATGCTTTTTGAGGGGTTCATTAGTCACTTAGCTCATTGTTGTGATCAAATACCTGACAAAAGTAGCTTAAAAGAGAAAGGTCTAATTTTGACTTGCAGTTTGAGGAAGTACAGTCCATCTAGCCAGGGGAAAGCTTGGCAGCAGAGCTTAAAGCAGCTGGCCACATTGCCTCTGCAGTCAGGAAGCAGAGAGAAGACAGGAAGTGGCACCAAGCTATGAAACTTCAAGGTCCACCCTCAGTGATCCACTTCCTTCATCTAAGCTGCACCTCAAGGCCTACTCCCAGCTGTAAACTAAGTGTTCAAAGACATGAGCCTATGGGGACAGTTCACATTCAATCCACAGCAAGGGGACTAAGAACATCTGATAAGTGATCAAAGTATTAACTTGGGTCACTGAATGTTGGCTATTTCATCAAAGCAAGTTGGGTTGCAGATTTGAGAACCTTCTGTGAACAAATGGTAGGGAAAGCCCTGCACAATAGTGTGGAGTGAGGGCCCAAAACAGTCACAACAGGGCATTGCACGGGCTTTCATAAAGAAGGGGTGTTTCATGGAAGCCTGCAGAGGAGGATTCTTGGAAGGATGTGGTCAATAGTAGCAAGTGCCACAGAAGGTTAAGCAAAGCTCCAAAAGCGGGCACTGGGTTTAGCAGTTTGGAGGTTCAGCTCTCTGGAGGCTCAACTTAAGTCTTACCCTCAGTGTACATTTCCAAGGAATTTGTCCCTTTCATCAAAATTGTTTAATTAGTTGGCATAAAATTCTTCCTCTTGCTACATTTTTAATGTCTGTCAAATCTGTAGTGATGTCTCTTCCTCTTCTGTTCTTGAAACTATTCATTTGTGATTTTTCTTTTTCCCTTGGTCTCTCTTGTGTCTTTTTGACCATGTGGCTGGCTGACATCTGCAGAAGAGTTTAAGATATAAGCTGTGGGAGGGAGCCTCCAAATAAAAATTAAAGTTATGAATAATAACCTTCAAAAATGACACAGATGCAAGGGAACAGATCAATCTGTTGATTACATCACCTAAACAATACATCTAGGCCAGGCACTGCATGAACATAAAATCTATTTATTGGCCTAGTTCTATCATCAGTTGAATAAAGCATATCAGCTTAAGATCTCTTTTTACTTAGAAAAATTTGTCTGTGTCAGGAACTGCTCAAGAAATTCACATTCCAGCAGGGCTTGCTCCTTGTTGGCAAGGGCTAATGTAGCATCAGCAGTAGAAAGGCAGACATAGAAGTTCTCTGTCTTTGAACACATTTCTTAATTTCTATTCACCTTCAAAACTATAAATAATATTTACTTAGCTTGTGAGGATTCAGATAATAATTACATGGCACTCAGTAAACCAATGGCACCAGAGTCAGAACCTTTTTCATACCAAGTGGCAGAAACCCAACTCAAATTTAGTTTATCTGGAAAAATTATGAACATATGGTTCTATGTGCTTGTTATATGTATGTGTGCATGTTTGGGTGGGTGTGTGCACATGTGCACATGGGTGTGCATGCACATGGAGATCAGAGGTTGATGTTGGATGATTTCCTCAATCGCCCTCTTATTTTTGAAGTGATCTTTCAGTGAACTTGGAGCTCACCTTTTCAGCTAGGTTAGCTGACCACTGAGTTTCAGGAATCTGCCATCTCCATCTCTCCAAAACTCCACAACACATGATTACAGTCATGTGCTGCTGCACATGGCTTTTTATGTGGGTGTTGGGGATCCAAATTCATGCTTGCATGGCAAGCACTTTTACCAGGTGAGCCATCTCCCCAGACCCTTATGATTTTTTTTTTTTTTGGTGTATCAACTTGCCTAGACTAACAAACAACCCTCAGAATTCCCTTTCTAATTTGTTTCCATTTAGGATGGGCTCAAGTGTTAGAGATCAAAAAAAGAAGTTGCCATTTTGTAGAATACACAATGTAATGGTTAATTTTGACAGTGTGATTGGAAGGAGAAACTGATTTAAAGAGACACATCTCCAGGTATGTCCATGAGGGTTTTCTGGACAGATTAGACCCTGAGGGCTCTTACCTAATGAAAAGATTAATTCTTTAATGAATTCATAACATATAGCATTATTGGGAGGTGGTAATGGGGAGGAGGTGGGGCTATTGGAGGAAGTGGTCACTGTGAGCGTGTTCTTGGAGCTGTACCTCACTCTGGTTTCTCCCAGTATTCCATTTTCTCTGTTTCTTGGCTGCCATGAGGTAAGAAA